CTCAAAAAAAAAAAAAAGAAAAAAAAGAACTAAGGGGACCTGATCTGCTTCTAGCAATGTTAGTAAATGAATGAAGGATTTATTTACTGGTGGGCAGAAATCTATGTGTAGTATATGTGCTTATAATCTTTTTTCTTTTGAGACAGAGTCTCACTCTGTCACCTTGGGTAGAAGGCTGTGGCATCATAGCTCACAGCAACCTCAAACTCTTGGGCTTAAGCAATCCTCTTGGCTCACTTGCTAAAGTAGGTGGCACTACAGGTGTGTACCACCACACCTGGCTAGTTTTTCCTTTTTTGTTTTTGAGACAGAATCTTGCTATGTCACCCTGGGTAGAGTGCTATGGCATCACAGCTCATAGCAACCTCAAGTGTTGGGCTTAAGCTATTCTTTTGCCTCAGCCTCCCAAGTAGCTGGCACTACAGGTGCCTGCCCCAGTGCCTGGCTATTTTGTTGCAGTTGTCCTTATTTAGCAGGCCTGGGCTGGGTTCAAACCCACCAACCTCAGTGTATGTGGCTGGCTCCCTAACCACTGAGCAACCGGCACCGAGCCACTAGTTTTTCTATTTTCTTAGAAATGGGGTCTTGTTTTTACTCAGGCTGAGCTCAAGGGAACTACCTGCTTTGGCCTCCCAGAGTGTTAGGATTATAGGGGTAAGCCGCCCTGTTCAGCTATCTAATGTTTAAATTAAACATTAATTTTGTTTCTAGAAAGAAATCTCTGCTATAAGCCTTAGTCTCAAAGAGCTGTAGCTTTAAAGAGAGAGGGCCTCTGTCATTCTTCCTGTGCTCCATTGTAAATTGCTGACCTCACTTCCTTGAAAAGAGCACATTCTTTTGCTGTATATGACATTTCTTTTCTGTGATCTCTTTAGGGGTGACCCAGTCACTTAAAGAAAGAAAGATACTGGATGAGGTAGGTACTTGATGTTATAAACTTATGAGAAAGACTTGGTGCCATTGAGTCACATAGTCACCAAAAAAAATGTGTCTGCTTCCTTCCATGAATGTACCACTTCCCATAAATTTTCCTTGATGGAAACCATTAGGAGTTATGCACAGCAGGAATTCTGTGTTCTTCTGTGTTCTGGGTTTTAAAAGAAACAGTCCTTTCTTTAGAGGGAAGGGCAAAGAATTTAATAAATGGGAAGAAAAGATTCACAGAGGCAAGAATAAGCCCACCTGAATCTTAACATGCTTTTTTTTTTTTTTTTTGTAGAGACAAAAGTCTCACTTTATTACCCTCAGTAGAGTGCCGTGGCATCACACAGCTCACAGCAACCTCCAACTCCTAGGCTTAGGCAATTCTCTTGCCTCAGCCTCCCAAGTAGCTGGGACTACAGGCATCCACCACAAGGCCCGGCTATTTTTTTATTGCAGTTTGGCCAGGGCTGGGTTCGAACCTGCCACCCTCGGTATATGGGGCCTGCACCCTACCCACTGAGCCACAGGTGCCACCCAACATGCATATATTTTTGTAGAAAATAACTTCTTGGGGGCAGCGCCTGTGCCTCAGTAGGTAGGGTGCTGGCCCCAAATACCAAGGGTGGCAGGTTCAAACCCAGCCCCAGCCAAATTGCAACAATAACAACAAACAACAACAAAAAATAGCCAGGCGTTGTGGTGGGCACCTGTAGTCCCAGCTACTCAGGAGGCTGAGGCAAGAGAATCGTTCAAGCCCAGAAGTTTGAGGTTGCTGTGAGCTGTGACACCAGCGTACTCTAATGGGTGCGATAAAGTGAGATTCTATCACTATAAAAAAAAGAAAAAAAAATAGAAAAGAACTTCTTGGCTCAGAGCCCATAGCACAGTGGTTATGGTGCCAGCTGAACAACTGCAACAAAAAAAAGCCAGGCATTGTGACCAATGCCTGTAGTCCCAGCTACTTGGGAAGCTGAGGCAAGACTATTGCTTAAGCCTAACAGCTGGAGGTTGCTGTGTGGTGTGACACCACTGCACTCTACTGAGAGTGACATAGTGAGACCCTGTCTCAAAAAAATAAAAAAACTGGGTGGCGCCTGTGGCTCAAACTCAGCCCCAGCCAAAAACTGCAAAAAAAAAAAAAAAAAGAAATCAGATTCCCTCAATGAAATGTTTGTTGCTCTTTATGATACTGAGAACAATGAGAGATAAATAAGATAGAGTGTAGGAGGAGGAATAATTTTACAGCAGCCATCTAAGAGCTCCTGGTGACAACAACTCAGACAAGATAAAATTAGAGAAAGCAATTTAAGCTTATTATGCACTGTTCAGTTGTAGGAGGCACCTGTGAGAAATACCTTGACAATAAGTGGGGAAGGGATTTAACAGCATTGGTTCTCGTTAATGAGCATGAGAGCGCATGAGAGCACGAGTGGAGAACATGTACATTATTGCATAGCAGTCTCCACTCCTGTGGTGTATCACTTGTATAAGTAGCCATGGGAAAAGCTACTGGAGGTGCCTGCGGGGCTCCTCCTTTGGCACCTCTTCTTGCTGGGAGGATGCCTAATCTGCACTCCCCTACTAAGACTGCTGCTGAGATTGCTGCTAAGATGCTCGCTTCTACAAATATTGACTGGGCTCGGCGCCTGTGGCTCAAGTGGCTAACATGTCAACCACATACACCTAAGGTGGCGGGGTTGAATCCAGCCCGGGCCTGCCAAACAACAATGATGGCTGCAACC